AATTTCATCAGAACTTTCCAGGTGACACTATTGGCGGGCATTACATGAAGAGGAAGTGGTCGAAGGAAAACATCCGAGAGGCTGAGCGATACTCTAAGATTGTTAGTGGCATCCCGTCAGTGGCACTCCCTCCACGGAGGGATATTCCTTGAAAACTTCCAGAAAGGGGGGGGGGGGTGTACCGCCCCGCCTGACACTGATCAAAAATGTTATTTTTCGCGTCAGTTTTCAGATCAGGTTTTAGAAAGTTTTACTTGATCCACAACACTTTTTTTGGTACTTTTAAGTCTGCATCGGTAACAGAACATCAGTACAGTTAAAATTTACCTGAATTAGTTATTACTTCTCCTTCTGTATTGTTCATTCTTGGAAATGCAAAGAGAAATATTTTGATCAGACTCTCTTTAAAATTGTACCCGATTTTAGATGATGAGGACTATAGTCTCCACCTTTTTTCAGACCAAAAACTAAAAACTGTAACCATTTAGGTGGAATGTACCTTTCACATACAGGGACTTAACCCACAATAAGAAAAACCCCCTCCCCCGAGGGGCAAATGAAGTGAAAGAATTCTCGGAAATTCGCGTTCCATTTTAATTCCTATTGAGGATAAAGCCCACGGTCAATATAGTTTTAACGAAAATCCTAACCAAATCAAATAAAACGATTTTCTCAGCCCTTTCCTGTTACGCAGTGAGTTTTTATTTTCTTTCCCTTTCTCTGGGTCTCTGTGACACCCACATCGGCCTTGTAAATGTCTAGATATTTTACCGTCTACTTCGAATTTGCTTCACCATTTTCTTCAATTCTCATAGCTGGACCCAAGTGAATAAGTGAAGTGCTAATTAATTGTAAGTGACACGAATAAAAGATCTAACAAAAGAAAATCAAATTCTCGCCCACATTTCATGTACGTGCTCGCTTTGAGTCGGTCCTGGTTCATGATATTATTCGCCCTTAGGTGGTGATTGAAATACATTAAAAATAATGAAGTAATATTTTCACAAATATGCTTCATCACTTATTAAATTTAGCTTAGGGTGTCAAAGTGATCAGTAGCTGGTTAGGCTGCCTTCGCTCTCGATTCAGTCACAAGTTTGTTGGTTTGTTGACTCAGTGTGCACGGTGAGATTTAATAAGTTCACTCCCTAGTTTAAATGGATCACACCTTTTTGCGTCGGTTGACCTCTACCTACCCACAGGAAATCATGAAAATATTTCCTGGCCAACGTAGGAGAAAAAACAGGAAAGAAATACATTTTAATTGCGTGAATAAACTCATATTTTTCATATCGCTTCTAGGACACAAGAGAAAGTGCGTCGATCGTCACACGAAATATGAAATGCCGATATAATTGTCCAGTCTGCTTCTACTGTGCTGACTCGCGTCTTTCATTGATATATAATCGACTAATTGACTAATCTTTCACTAACATCTCCGAAATTTTATTTGGATTACGAAATTGCCTTTATCTAAGTCAAAAGAGTCCAGGGTGTTACCTAATTCTGTATGATTTTCGTTGAATTTTTGCATCGTGGAAACGTCTTCAGTGTTTTCCAATGAGTCGCTCTTCTTAGTGCCTTACTGGTTAAATAGTCATTTTGATCCAAGCTGCAGAGTATGGCAGAACTTGACGAGATCATTGCACGTGCAGATCGCAGAACCATTTTTTAGCCGCGTACACTGCGTGAAATACGACCGACCAGAATACGCACGTGCATCATGAAGAATCTGTGAGCTGCAGTGATTCTAACAGTGATTTTTTCTAGTTTATTTTTTTCCATAATGGTGTTGCTCCGGATGTTCTTCAGTGTAAGCTATATTGATGAACTGCTTCGACCCAAACAATGTGAGTTTGCATTTTTCACCGCCTACATGAGATTAACTTGCGTAACTTCTCCTTACGATAAATTATTTTCCAAACACGTTGTGAAAATATACACTGGACACGTAATAACCCGAGGATGATGTCTTAGTGCATTACCAAATTCTCCTAACTCATGCAGCATGAGGAAAGAATCACAGATCAGATTTTTAGGAGTCATTTCATCAGGCCAATCTGGTCCAAAACGGTTACAAATTGGATCGATGAGTCAATTTTATATGGAAAATATGTTTTTAATGATAAAAGACAATTTCTTTATGTCACAGTGGTCGAAAGAATAGTGGTTTCTTTCAAACTGAACTTTTGTCTCTGAAGATATTTGATTACTAAGGAATCATATACGTCAAGAAACAAGTTTGATGCACTTTGTATCCGCTCGGAGATTCGTCGATCTCGTTTTTCGTTTCTTTTATTTCACTACGCGCAGCGTCGGAATAGAGTCGCACGGGCGCTTCAGCGATGTTATTCTCGTTTTATCCGCGACTGAATCATGCAAACTAGGGAATACAGTCACAACATGGAAGCATTTTTCACGTTGATTTAGAAAATGAATGAGGTTAAATTTAGTCATCATAAATATTCTCATTCTCGTCCGCTACGATACCAGGCTATTGACCCCTTACACCCTAACATCAGTATCAATATTCTCTATTCTCTTCTCTTTACGTTTCATTTTGTACTAACAAGGAGAATTTGTTTAACAATCAAAGCTTCTTTGGTTAGCGACCATTTCCTTTAGTCTCGTGATCTCGACGAATGATTCAGCCATATTACTGTAAGGAGAAATTAGATACTGGTCACTCTCAGGGTTTAAAGAGTTAAGTGATTTTAAATATTAGAGGAGTCGCGCTCAGGAAGCTTACAAAAAAAATGTTTACCCCTCAGGTGATTCTGACGTTCGTTTGGCACCACGTATGTATGACAAGTTAGGAGATAAGGGTGGACTAGGGCTGGGATAGATATAAGTTCTAGCACGTACAACCTTCGAAAATGCGATTGATAAACAAAGATACATCTCCAACAAATTGATAGTGACTATTAATCGTGTCACAAGTGATTGAATTTTAATTTAGTATCATTACTGCGGTGAATAAAAAACATGTTTTACAAATGTATCCTTTGGAGAAAAAGTCAAACTGACTTTTCCCCTTAAAACAATCAGCAAATAAGTTAAAGGAGCAGTATGAAGAAAAAAAACCTTTGTCGTTGTTTAAAAGGGAAAACACACTGACTTATCATGATTTTATACTGAGATCTCTCCACATTTGCCTAGACTTATAAAAAAAACTTGCACATTTTGATGATGGCTTGTAACACATCCACGTAAGAAATTGATTGGTGAGTTTTCCAAAGGGAAAAAGTTAGTTCTGAAAGCCATTTCGAGTAAATCAGCCTTATAAGTAAGGTTTACTAATATCAGTTGAGTTTGTAAGATACGATTTGACGAACATGTGCCAGTTTGAGTCTGAATGCTGATTGTGGGGAGCCAGTCACTTACCACCAATTATCAATACGAGTATTCTATCAGCTAAATGCTGGGCCGTCAGGTGAAATGATAAACAAGGTCTTTGTTTACTTGTGAAATGATGTATACCACATTTACCCTGATAAGGCCATCACTCGGTTCTATTTCCATTTGGTTCTCGTTCTCCACTTTAATCTTTTTTCTCAAAAACGGATACGATGGACAAAGCGTTCTTTACAGAAACATCGAGTGAATAATTTGGCGTCGATCTTTCAGAGGCTAACCTGGACTTTTCTTTACTGATGGAAGAAAACAGACTGGTTTTTAATTTGTCATGCGGTAAAATGACTTTGCATCTTGTCTTTAGAGTTTCAGAATTTGATTCTTGCGTTTTTATGTATCCTTGACAAACTGCTGTAATGCGCTTCTCTCAACTTATTACAAGCCTTTTGCGGTTACGGAAATGAAGTCAGCAGACAAAAAGATGCTCGTGGTAGCCTTCCTGAATATAATATCTCTCATGGCTCTGACTGCTTGAGTGGTATCATTATCGTTTACCGAAGGAGAAAAGGGAGGCCATCGTGATTCAAAAGGAAGTCTTCGTAAAAAGTTTTTGGTAAAAAAATCAAATGGTGCTCTCTGAGCAGGTCCTCTATCATATATTCTATATTCACACATTTTTTCCGAAAAAACATATTTTGTTTGAGGATAATAACTTGAACTTGAATATAAAATTTTCATGATAAAACTGTTACTTGTGGCCTTAACTGATCATGAGCAGTTTCCTTAAAATAAATACAATATATTTCTCAGATCATTTGGATCAAAGATAACTTGAAAACAAACTTTGTTATCAGATTAAGATGCAGTTTTCAAAATCTGTTTAATCGCATGTAACCTTTTTTTTTTATATTTCGTCGTGAAATCTCCTTTTTAGTGACTCTATTCAGTTATGTAAGTCTCTGTTGGCGGGGGCTCGTGTCCAACAGGCGACTCAAGGAAGCTATACTGCATTCAACGCTTAAACTGAGTGGTTAGACAATTAAACCATGCAATTTAATTTTTATCGCCACAGTGGGCTCTTAAAGCGCTTAACTGTGCACTTCTTCCGCAAGGTAAGTGCATAAACTGAAAGCTAACTTGTTAATTTATCTAAAGAGAAGATACACAAAATTTATTCATGCATTTCAAAGTAAGAAAAACAGGTCTCGTCGTCAAATTATTTATCTTTAACGTCTCCTCGGGTTATATAGATTTTTCGAGTGTGTCCGTTCTTAATTTGAAACTCTATGACTGCGATTGTGGGGTTTGATTTATTCGCTTCGCTAACAGACAGGTGGTGTGTTTTACCAGACTAAATTATTAAAATATTGATCGTCTAGTGTTTCTCTTTTTTCTTAAAGCGCGCAGCATCGGGCGGCCACGTGCGCGTTAAATAACAGACAATGCAATGGCTTCCCGTAAAGTTGGACGCACCACCGACAGGCGTTAAGTCCACAAAACAGTACTGGGCTTAAACAACGGAAAACTCTGTTGAATTGTAAGAAACTGATAGCGGATTCCACGTCACTTCCACATCCTATGTGGGGGCAGGGCCGGGGTCTCTATAAAATTCTGACGGTTATCGCTTCAATTCACTGAAAAACAAACACTGATCCGGTAAGGACAGATCAGAGTTAACAACGGGTCGATCAAGTTAACTTCGTCTTAAAAACCCAAGGTAACTGAATTATGCTCTCTATTTTCTTATGATACATGCGATGCTCGGGCTGCGTCTTGCAGAATATCGTGCATTAGTGAAAAATGTCCGTTAAATTTAATTTCTATTATCACTTTGGCTCATGCAAGAAAAAAAATTAACTCAAGGTTTGCACATAACACACAAGCCGTCTGTGAGAATTTGTAGTTCTATAAATTTTGCATGAGAGAAACTCCAAGATTTAAGAAGAGCATTGTCAGGAAAACGGTCCTGTATCTCGTGCTTCAAAAGGCTGGGCTGCCGGTATAACACGAGTTGGCTTCATTTTGTTCACTGTATTCCACTTACATAGAGCAGTTATATTTTTTAAGTTTGAATTTTTCTTGATCCACAGTTTCTTATTCAAAGGACAGGGTTTTAGAGGATGAAATGATTTTCATGAGTTTTTTGTGTTACGAGTTACTCAATACCAAGCGAAGAAAATAGCTCTTATATTGGATTTCGTGATGCCCTCAATCATATTTAGTTGGGCTATTTAGGAAATTGATAATGCAAAACACAGGATGGGTCGTATTAATAACATCCTCTTAGTCTGCTGGTTTACTAACTTTTAAAATCAATTAATTAATTTCGTTTCTGGAATGATAAATAGTGATGATCTAGCTGTACGCTTGACTTGAGTGAATCACCATTTTCTGCCACTTTTTTCGGTAACAAGTAGACTAACATCAGTGAACAATCTAGTTTATGAGAAATTAAAAGATAAGAAAGCCCGTTGATTAAACGCAAACTCCGGTTTTGTCGAATCAGCACATGGTCTCTAGAAAATAATCTACGTAGGAGTTACAATTTAAAACCTTGAACTAAAGAACAGCTAGTGTTAGTTTAATATAATTAAAGAACTTTATCATTTACATGTTAATCCTAGCGAGCGGCGTCATCACATGAAAATTCAAATAAATTAACAAAACACGTTTCCCACTGCTTGAACACTGAAAGTACTCGTTAACTTTCCAGTCACAAGATCATAAATTCTTTTGAAACAGTTTATATCGGTTTATATTTTCTTTTATTTTGGGCTTTCTGTAGCAAAAATAAGCGCTTTATCAGCTCTCTCAAGAGTTAGTATGAATCGAAAGAAAATTTTAGAATTTCAGATAATGAATCAATCATAGAGGCCTTATCATAGAGTTATTTTTAGATCACTTGCGCTCACGAAGATCCAGGTAGAATCAGAAATAACCAGTCCCATGTTGCGAATTTCGCGAACGTCAGACATTCCGTGCGGTATCTTTTTTTTTTTTTTATCTGTTGTAATATCTTATGCTGCGTGTATATCGTGCAGAGCACGATATACATGTAACATGTTGTGAGGATTTCAGAGTACCACCTGGGTGCTTGTGGATACTTCTTTTATCTCCTCGTGCTGTAATTATCTTTCAGATACTGGCATGAATCGAAGCAGAGTCATGGATAAAATTCAGATCATTACGCTAGGGCATTAGTATTTTTCTATGTTTATGCAAAAGAGAGCGAAAATAGTTAGCTAGAGTTTATATTTCTCACTTCCACGTAGCTTCATCCTCAAAGGGGGATCTAAAAATAGCAATTGCTGCGTCGTGAACTATCGTCACTCGGATATCGCATGTGAATTCTTCTTTGTTCTCCATCACAGTAAGCAGGAAAATGAGAACTTGGGAAAAACGTAAAAAAAAAAAAAAAAAAAAAAAAAAAAGACGGGCCGAAATCAGCTGCACATTATTTTAGTCTCATCCTATTTTACCTATCCATGTCCCTTATTTGCCTCGATTTTTTTAATTGACAGTTTGAACCGGTTTCTCTTATAGGTTCACATGGATATTCTTCACGTATAAATTTCCTTCAACTCACTAACTTTCTCGAACTATCTTACTAGGCAGACAAGAGCACCATGTAGTGCAGACTGTGTCAACAAAACGTTAAAGACTCATGTCCTTAAAGGATATTTCAGACTTTTAATTTTTCTGTATCTATTTATTAGCTAACTATTTTGATGTCTCCCCATTAAAATTTTTGTTTTTAACTTCGTAAGCATCTATATGTATTGGGATTTTTCACTGTCTAAGTGTTATGTCATTGGCTCTTACACCAACATCAGCTTTGTAGATCGCTCCACTATAATCTGTTTTAGTGCCCGTTTAATCCTCGATTCCCCTGAACAAGACTCTTATTCTGGTTAACGTCTCTAAGTTCGGTTCTATCACTATCATCTTTTTATTGTTTTCCCCTCTAGCGACTGTCTTGGCTTAATCAATACCTTGCATTCCACAATCCAAAAGTAAACTTTTAAAACGACTCCTACGATGAACCGAAAGCTACTCGCTGCGTTAGCAATTGTAACATTTCTCACGATAGCTGACCTTAGCAACAGAACTGCTTGTGAAGCGAAACAGCGGCGCCGAAGGTTCACGTGGCATGGAAGACGTTTGATCTCACATCGACCGACAAAGTCTGCATCGAATGGAAATAGCCAGGTGAACATGAATTCTCAAAAGCCAGCAGATAATGATGACACAACACAAAAACAAGACTTTGATAATGAAGAACAGGTTGGAAAATTCTACGCTGAAGTGTTTGGAAGTGGTAAGAAGCATCATCGTTCTCTAACCACTAGGATCACAGTTTACAAAGCTCCAATTTAGATTTTCAATTTCTTAAGATGTGACTATCAATTCTTTATCAAATATTTTATTAAGATCCTGCTCTCCGGATTCCGTATTGACTTAAGGGTTGAGTAGAGATATTTTAATCATTTTTAACAAACTTAGTAGAAGAGAAATGTTGTACCAATGAACTTAATGCGCTCTCAAAGAAATAAACAACTTGAAGTTACGTAAGAAATTCACACAGCATAGCTAAGATAAACATCACTAGGAACCAAGGAAAGTTGAAATTTAGCGCAAAAAGCGCGTGAAAACTCAGATAAACGAGTCTTTATTGCTTTCAATTTTGCATGAGTGGTCAGAAAGATGGCATTTTTTTTCCTGGACCAATCATAGAGCATAGTGAAACTAAACCACTGCGGTCCAGGATTTCTTTCAGCATTCAGTTGACGGTACCGCTTTACGACGCGCATGTGAATAATGTTAACTTGTCCGGTCGCTTCACTACTAATAAGATATTTTTTTCGATTTATCACAGGTGATATGCGTCAACCACACGAACCTTGATTTTTTACGAAGATTAGAGATGTAAAATGGAGTCGACATAAATATAGTTTTTTAAATGTTTTAAATTCATTATATTTAATTAAAGTTAGGAAATTGTATTATTTAACTGATTCATTAAAGAGGATAATTTGTGCGTCTTGAAACATTTCATGAAAAATCTTCACGATCATCGTCTGCAATCTTCATAAGTCTCCTTTGTCTCTAAAACGTTATCACCGTAATCCAGACTAAAACCGAAAATGTTACACGGCTTTTCCATAAAAAAATATTTAAATTTACTGAAACAAGCTTATCTTTACGTTTACAAATGAGGAGACTGAAAGTTACAAACTTTTCTAGGCGGTCCTACAAAATACAAACTGTCTTTTAAAATACACTAAACGGAGTGGTTTTTAGCCGGGGCTATTGCACATGACAATGAAGAAAGAAGTCGTGCAACAGTTCTGAATTTGGCATGGCTTTATTCTAGTGCTTTTCCATCTCATAGAAATTAAAAATGAGAACCAAACCGAACGAAAGAAAGTTGCAAGGTAATTAGTTGAGTACAAAAGCCAGCAACAGTTTGTACGCAATTGAAGCTCACTTTGTAGATTCAAAATAATTCGAAAATAAAGAGAAAGGACTTGATATATGAAATTATATGTGTATAAAATAAATTTTCTCCAACATTTTTTTGCAATATCATTCAAAATTTGATCTTTCTTTGACCAAGATGTCGTTGTTTCTTATTTCGTTTTTCTTTCAACAGCGCACTTTTTAAAACTACGGCACCTTCCTTACGCATTTCGAATTCGATTAAATTCTAAGTTAACGATAAACCACTGTTGTTAAGTTAAAAACAGACTGAAAGAGATCCGTGCATGCAGAGCGAAACCTAAATTAGCATAACAGGGATAATTTCAGACTATAGTTAAATAGGTCAAAACATAATATAACTGGCGATTTTCACTTTGCCTTGCTCTATCATTTCACCTTCTGCATCTTTATTGAATCTCTTTTCAGGCACAAATTCTTGCGTAACCTTCTCGTCCAGCTTAAAATTTTCCCTTGAAGACGATTGAACAGCAATCGATGGTACATTTCGTGCCCAAAGATATTTAGTCGCAGATCGTTGCTGCATGCCTAAGCATATTGTTCACAGTTGTGAATGTTGTCAACAGAGTGTTTTTACATTCGCACAGTTGTCTAATGTGTAACTGAGTAGGTTAATATGATTATTACTTACCTGTGTGGGGGTAAATATCGTTTATGTCATGTACCGTGCTCGAGCAATATGAAGTTGGCAGAAGTAACCTAAGTTCGTTGCATTTGCCAAGAACTTGATCACTTTTGTGTTTTCATGAAATAACATGTCCTCGCCAACACAGGCACAACGAAACGTCCAATTAGAGGATATTTACCCGAACGGTTTTGACGTAAGTTATAAAATTTTTATTTTAATGATAACGCTCTGGCGGGAGATCAGTTTAAAATTATTCTTAGACAACTACAAAATCCCGGGAAAATTTTTATTTTAAATACTTTCTCTTGACCCTTTTCCGATGGATAATATATTTTCTTTCTATATGTAAATCTGGTAAGATAACAGTTCTGTTCGCTATTTGTATGACTTCTAATTTTTTTATCTTAAAATTTCGGAAGTAATAAAATGGATCTAATTTCATGCTTTGCTAAAACTGCTCGAAGTGGAACAGTGAACCTCTCGCATGCTGGTAGAACTACAAACACGACGATAGTGAAGATATTTCGAAGGTTTTTGGGATTGGATCGTGTATTTTATCTGATAATTTACCCGTAGGGATTTGAAATCTTTATGATCTTACCTATTGCGCAGTGGGTTGTCCCATTACTTCGTTGAAATAAATCTTGTTTTTACAATTAGATTATTCTCCCCTAATACTGGATTTGTATTGTTATCCAGAGTACAATTTACCAAGCTATGTGCTAAGAAAGCTTTAATTTTTTTTTTAATTATAATACAAAATCAATCAGTCAACAAGTAGAATTACACAGAACGAGAAAAAGATAAAAAGAGGGAACAACAATAGTACGCTGTTTGTTGTATGATACATCCTGGATAAACTGCAAATTTCTCCCCACTGCAGTGAACGGAAATCATGATAAGGATGATGTACAGGTCGACTTGAAGAATGATTTTATCGAACCCTTTCCCCCCACTTTTTCAACCCATATGTGGAACACAGAACGAGGAATTCAGGGACTGGGTCATCTAAATTGAAATGAGGCGTTCACGAATACAGTCGACTGCTCGCACCGTTTTCCACATAAATTGAGTTACATGTAGTTGCGCCCATGAAATTTTTTAGGCATTTCGGAGTTCTCTTGATTTCAGTTATGGACTCGAAGAAACTTGACTTTGTTCATTTGCGGTTTGAAATAATTGTGTGACTCAATAAAATTATTGATTTTGTTTGAAGTTGAAGTCCTATTAAAACCAGAAACCCAGATCTAAAGAAGTTAGTCTCGAAAAGAAATTTCTGTCATTAAAACTTTTCAAGTAATGAATTAAACTTTTTTCGCGATTTATGATAGAATTATTGAGTACGCTAACTCTGTTAACCTTTTCGAACAGCGATAAAAAACTTTGTGCACTTCATGAGGTTCTTAGCATCTTTCATTTTACTTTACTGATTTCAAAATTCTTTAAAAAACTGGCCCACCGATTCAAATAGAAAAAAAAGTGTCTGCTAAAAAAAGAATTGTTTCTTATTTGAATTTGTCAAAAACATCGTCAAAAAAAAATCCTCACAGATTTAACCTTGAAAAAAAATTCATGATGCGGATTGACAGGTATATGAATCAAATTTATCAAAACTTACCCCTTTAGTTAGTAAACCCACGAAAAACCCCAACATAAAGCTTCCAAAATTTACATGCTGATGTATAACTGTTAAAAGCTACTTTTTGTCACTTTAAAAATGCCTTTACCAGATTACGTGTATATCAACTTTTCCACGATGTTTCTTGCACATTTGGATTATTTTAAAATCTTGGTCAATGATACCCAGCTTCTGAATTACTAAGTTTGAAATGTAACTCTCAAATAAACACATAAAGCAAATAAAGAACTAAAAAATATTTTCTGGCGTTCTAATACTCTATTCCAGGTAAAATTCTAGCACGTTTATGTCTTGTAAACATGGTAACAAAAATGAATAGATCTCTCACTGAGTTACTTCAGAAAATATTTGTAAGACATTTTCAGAGATATTCTTACAGATATATCAGTACCTTCTTAATACATGTCTTGAATCCATTGCAAAGAGCAAAACCATGTCTTTCGAGTATGTTGTTTTACGACGGCGTAACTAACCTCATTTCTTTCGACCTTCCACTCTGGATTTTTAGTTAAAAAGGCAATCACTGTAATTGTTAGACATTTCACCGCCTGATTTCCATAATAAACTTTAGGTCACTTACTTATGTAAAACATATTACCGTTTGAAAAGGCGAAAAGTTTCAGGAGATTTAAAAATTCTCAGCTTAAAGTGTACAAAACTTTTTAATTTCCGCTATCAAACGTGTCCGCCATTGAAGAAACTTTTATCTTTCTATACTGGGTGTAGTCAGAGATAAGATCACTTGTGCAGTTTTTGTTTAAAGACGAAAAGCTATTATTTTCACGTCGGCCACCATTTCATCATTTTAATTTCTCTTTTGTTTAACTTTTTCGGCGCATTAATCGACAAAACAACTTTGGATACAAAGTGAATGAGGGTTAAAGTGAAGAGAATACTTAGACTAGAAGGAAAAGCCCTTGTTTGGTTAATATGAAAAAACATAACCATTTCTAAGCAGTAAAATATATAACTTCGACTATATCTAATCCCAGTAAAATTTCACCTTGACGTTACAGCCAAAATTGTCACTCGCATTAAATATTTTTTAATCCTTCATGGTCAATTTGCCTTTGATCATCCCCTTTATGCTTCAGCTTTGTTATAGATAATTAAGAAGCAATCATGAACTACACTTTCTACTCATAAATCGTGAAAATCCGTGTTCGAGTTTACAAACTCCCTTCCTTATACCAACGAGAGTTTACTTAACGAAGTGCGTCAAACTTTTTCATTTCTAGCATAAGTAACAAAAATAGAATTAAATGGATTTCTGTAAAAAAGATTATTTTTATTGGAACATCACGCAATGCTTTGTTGAGAAAGTTAAATCACCCGAGGTACTGCTTTAAAATTACCAAAAATCTTATCATTGTTTTCATCGATTAATAAAAATAAAATAAATCTGATTTTCAAAAGAAAGCACATGGGCTATCAACTTGAAAAGATTAATGGGCAAATTCCTAAGAAAAAAGCAAGCTTAAACACAAAGCAGGGTTAGATTTTTTTTTTTGATAATTTGTGTTCTACATCAATCAGAAAAATACGGCATATTTAATTAGCGAAATTTTTTTGAAAATTTGTCCACGCAAACATTTGACCTTGTATTCAACTGTTACCCTCTTTGGACATCTAAACCATCAAAACCACACTTTACAAGGCAAAGTTTGAAGATTTTTGTAGATTTACTGGCTCTATTGAGCCAAGTGTGGCGTAAGACAATAAAATTGGAGTAGCTTTTACAATTAAATCAATTGAATCTTACGTATTTTTTTGTTCACAGAAATACCACTCTCATTTTCGGCGAAATCAAAGACAAATTGTTTGGAGTAACGCGTAGTAACTTAAATTAAAAAAACAAAACATCTAAATGAGAATTCATGCATAAAAAGTCTGGTCAATAGATCAGAAAAGAGTATGTGCAAGAAAAAGCTGAAATAGATTTGAATATTAAATCCAACAAGATGTTTTAAAACAGCATAATATTTGGTAAAATTCTAAAATTTTAATTTTTTTATAAAAAGATTTGTAGATTTATCACTTGATGAAGAACCCCCACTGTTAAATCATCCTTTGCAAAAAAATCCCGATAATCAATTCTCTGTGCTGCTTAAAGAATCCTAGTAATATTCCTATAGCTAAGTTGAAAAAAATGGAAATGAAGATGGAGCTTAATTTGTTTCTTATTTGTGCTTTTTTTTTT